TCCTTGCTTTGGCTCAATTATTTAAGTACTTGTGATTCAATAGTTATCTTCCTGCCTCCCCAGAAACCGATCTGAGAGGAACATTGGCAAATATTTCACAGAAGCCAGATTCATTTCTACCAGACATGCAAGTCAAATGAAAAATGAATCTATTCCTCAACCGTATACAGGAGGAGCATGATATATTCAATTAATCACTGGACATTTGGTTAAAAACAGTAAGAGCAGCCATGTATTGAGTGCTTACCATACATAAGTCATCTGCAAGCTAAGTGCTTTGCCAACATTATCTCATTTGATCCTCACAATTTCCCTGCAAGGTAAGCACTATTATCCCCATTTTCAGATGTGAAAACATGTCAAGTCGGTAAGAGAAAGAGAAAGGATTCAAATTCAAATCTGTTGATGTTATAAATTGAATTGTGACACTCCCCACGAGAATTCATATACTGAAATTCTAACCCCCTGAATATCAGAATATGATCTTATTTGTTAATAAGGCCACTGGAAATATAATTAATGAAGTTAGGATGAGATCATACTGGAATAGAGAGGGTCCCTAATCCAATATGAGGTGTCCTTATAAAATGGGGAGATTTGGACACAGACGTGTACACAGAAAGAATGTTACGGGGAGATGAAGGCAGAGATCAGGATGATACCCTACAGCCAAGGAACTCCAGAGATTGCCAGCAAACCACCAGAAGCTAGAGAAGAAGCAGGGAACAGATTCTTGCTCACAGTCCACAGAAGGAACCAACCCAATGGGCATCTTGATTTTGGACTTCTGGCCTCCTGAACTGTGAGACAATAAATTCATGTTGTTTAAGGTGCCCAGTATATAGTATTTTGTTATGGAAGCTCTAAAAATCTATTATAGTTGGGTTCCGAAAATCCATGCCTGTCTGTTGAGTCATGCAGTATAGGTGGGGAGAGTTTCTTGCTATTCTTGGAGGCCCACCCACCTGATTAGCCACCCTGGTACCAACCTTGGACTGGAGTTTGGACTGAAATTGTGGAGATTCCTCTAACAATATGTCTAGTGTGGCTTCCTTCCTTGAAACCTCACCTTCCCCTGGTTTGACTATCTCCCCATCTTAGTGTTTTGAGAAATCCATATTGCTCCACTCTGAGTTATCAAGAATGTGTTATTCATTCACTAAAAAAATACTTACAAAGTGTTTTCTTTGTTCCTACTAGTCTCTCTTGGAGTTCACAGTCTAGCAGAGGAGCATGATGTTAAAAAAATGATCACACCTAATATTATGACATGTATATTAAAACTTGTCTTAGGACTCTAGCAAAATTGAGACTAATCTTCTCTTCTCTAAACCTTGCTTGGATTCTTTCTAAAATAAACAATAAGATTTGTATCAGAAAACCAAGAGATGAAGTCAAACAATTACTGAGTTTTCTTTATTTTATATTCAAATAAGCAATATTTGGCAATTTTCTGTAAATTTTCTCAAATTTAATAAAAACCATAAACCTGTGTATCCAAGAAGCTCACTGAAACTCAAGCAGGATAAACCCAAAGAAACACCACAAAAGCATATCATACATAAGCATAAATTCAGCAAGGCATGCTGAAAATTAGTGATAAAGATAAAATCAGTAACAGCAGTTAGAGGAAATAACACATTATTACATAGAGGGGGTAAATGTATGACTGCAGAAGTTGCATCAAAAACAAAGTAAACAGAGATGAAGTACTAAAACAAAACAACCAACACACAAGCTTACTAACCTAGAATTCTGTGACCAGCAAAAATATCCTTAAAAATTTTAAGTTGAATTAGGACATTTTTAGTAAAGTTAATATTGAGAGAAAATTTTGCCAGAGAATGTATATGACAAAGAATTTTGAAGAATGTTCATTAGGTAAAATGATAGTAATACAAGATGTGCTGAAAAAGGCAATATGTTGTTAAACATAAAAGACTTTCCTCATCTTTCAAGCTTTTAAAAATATATTCGGGACAAAGACAGTAACAATGAATTGAGGTATCAGAACAATTTTAAAGTAAAATAAATGATAACAACTGCACAAAGGATGAGGGTGGGGGAAAATATTAGTATAATGTTACAAGATATATTATGTGTGAAGTGGCATAATATTATTTGAGGCAAAGTTATGCATTTTAAACTTGAGAGTAACCAAGCAAACAACAAATACATAAATAGAGATGCTAAGCCAATAGTGGAGATAAAACAAAAACTAAAAAATAAGCTGAAAGAAGACAGGAAAAATGTAAGAAACAGAAACAAAAACAAGTGTAGATGAGATAAATAACAATATGGTGAACAAAAACCCAGAAATATCAAAATTATATTAAATGTAAAGGTTCTGAGCACTCCAATTAAAAGGCTGAGATTATCAGACCAGATTTTTTACAAAAGCAAGATTCACCTATATTCTGTCTATATGAAATGTACTTTAAATAAAAAGACAGGATGGAAAAAGACATTATCTTACAAACACTGAACATACTGTTTGAATCGACTACACTAATATCAGATGAAATAGAGCTCAGGAGAAGGAATATTACCATGCGTAAAGAGGAACATTCCATGAGATAAAAAATGGTCAATTCATCAGGAGTATGTAAAAATCCAAAATGTGCACATACCCAGTAACAGAACTTCAAAATGATTAAACAAAAAACTGATAGACTTCAAGAAGAAATAGGTAATTAGCTGGAAATTCCACATTCTTCTCTCAGTAATCAACAGAACAAGCAGACAGAAAAAGGTCAATGTAAAAAAGGGGTCAACACTATCAGTCAAGTTAAATTAATCAACATCTATAAAACATTCCACCCCAATCCAGCAGAAAGCACATTCTTCACAAAAGCATAAAAATGTTAAACAAAATAATCCACAGGCTGGGCTACAAAATATATCTCAAAAATTTTTAAATGATAGAAATAATATAAAGTATGTTTTCTAAACATGATGGAATTTAATAATCAATCAACAACAACAAAAAGATCTTGAAAATGTGCCCAAACTTGAAAATTAAGCAACATTATTCCAAATTACCTGTGGGTCAAAGAAGAAAGAGATATAAATTAGAAAATATTTTTAACTGAATGATTAATGACAATTCAACATGAATTAAGATTTTGGGATGAATCTGAAACAACACTTGGAAATTTATAGCTTTAAATGCTTGTATTATAAAAGAAAACAGGTATAAAATAAATTATCTAAGTTTCCATCTTAAGAAGTTAGAAAANTTAAACGTGTTCTGTGTTTCTTCTTGCTTCTTGAACATACACAATAGAGTTATGTAATGGTTTTAGATCCTTATCTATTAATTCTATCATATGTATAATTTCTAGGTGGTTTTTAGAAGTTTTCTCTTTTTTTTCTCAGAAACAAGTTGGTATTATTTGATTATTAAATAATGTATGAAATTTAATTACATGCTCATTTTCAAGCTTTGAATATATGTTTGTCATATGTTCACTTCCAATGGCTTACTAAATACTTGTAGTTTCACTTTGATTAATTAGTGAATATTTATCATGAACCTACTGTGTATAGCCTTTACTAAATGCAAAGAAAATGTGCATGACTAGGTATCAACCCCTGCCCTCAAATATGCTCTAATCCACCACAGAGACTGATTAGGAAACAAACTACCACAATGTAGCAGGAATAGGGCTAGATGCTGAGGCAGTCAGAGAGGGGGCTCCTTTACCACTCCCCTACTTTAGTTAGAATTGCAGATAGAATCACATCTTAAACGGACATGAAGTATGAAGAGTCTGTGTATGCTTTTCCTTCTCTTTGGAGGTTTTGGATCCACACTAGATTCAGGGAAGAATGGATCAACAGCACATGAAGGAAATTAAAGACAGAGTAGTGATCTTTTGCTAAATCAGTGAGTGGAGCTGGGATTAGGGAGACTTGCGGGGGCAAGAGTCTAAGGAAGGGTTGAAAGGCTGGTGATACCGATCATGAAACTTTGGACTGCTTTTTGAGAAATCTAATACTCATCTTTCTGACCCACCATTCTCAACATAGCCAAAGGCAACACTTGCAAAGCATTCTGAGCTCACCAAATTACAGACACCAAAGAGAAAGCTATAGCCATGGTTAAACTGACAAAGTCAAGTAGTTTATATGCTATTAAGTGAAATTAATTATGAAAGATTATCTATCTTAGTATTATTTACCCTAATATATTGTGTTTGGACAGTTTTAATAATATTTGATCACTCTAGCTATTAAAATACTTCCTTTAAGCACTAGCTAAGCCCTGGAACATTTTAATACCCTACAAACCCACCAGGTATTAGGAACACATGGTTTGGTACAAATGGTAAACTTGAGACTGGCCTCTGTCTATTCCTCAAGCCAAGCCAGTAGGCCACAGGTCTGTACTTCTATAGTGAACAAGTGGGATTGTTATTTTTTAAATTATTGATTTTCAGAATCTAAAAAACAAATTGAGACTCTCAGAGAAGAGCTTCATTACTGTCTTGTAGGGAGACATGTCAATTCAGTTTCTCAAAATATATGTATCTATTACACACAGAAATAGCAAGTAACTAATTTTATGGACCAATTAACATGGCCTTTAAATCATTCTTTTAGTAATAAAATGTGACCAAAATTATATGCACATATTTAGGTTAGCTCAAAACACAAAAATGAATTCTCATGTATAAAACTTTCTTTATGAAAATTGAAATGGTCATTAAGACTGAGACTGAAGGGGCCACTTATGAAGATAATTCCCTTGCTTCAGGCTAATCACTTTCATTTTAAGGTAATCCCCTGTGATATTTTTAACCCTTAAAAAAATACATCCCAACTTAAAGAATTACAGGGAGAGTTCTGACCTGTAATAGGTTTCTCTTTTCAACTGCTGAAGTTGAATATGAATGTGGGGTTTGGGGAGGAGGTTTATTTCAGTTCAGTTTGACTGAGTCGAAGTACATAACAGTTAAAATATTCTGGGTTTCTAATTGCTTGTTTCCTAGCCCAGGATGAAGTCAGTAGAGTTTTGTTTCCTTTTCTGTTGCTGGAAAACAATGTGCTGCAGTAGCTGTGAGCTGACCAACATGACCATCACATGGAGAAAGGAATGTGGCTTCTGCACAAGCATCAACACCATCTGGTGTGTGGGCTGCTACACCTGGGAAGACATTTTACCATTACGGAAGTAAGGGTGCTGAAGGTCTGTAGAAGACAACTTTCACTAATTCCCACTTTATCAACACTTTGTCTCTCCTGAATGACAGCTATGAGTCTCTTATCCAGCACTGTCTTGTGTTGTAATTGGGGTTAATTACCATCATACCATTTATATGTTTAGCTTTGGATTTAATTTGGGTAAAACAAATTTTGGGGAGCTTAGACTGATGTAAATAAATGAATGCTTCAGTAATGTGTCAACTCTGCATTTTAAAAGAGCGTTTTTCTGCTATCTTTACCTACTGAGTGATAAACATGGACATGAGGACACATGTATATTCAATCTGGAATATTATCAATAGTCTCCAAAGGCCAGTTGCAATAATAAAGGGCAGACCTCTGCAACAAGGATAGTACCAAAATTCACTTGAAAGCCAAATAAAAATGCAAGCAAGCAATATTATAAAATTCACTGTATTGTTCTACCTTTAATACAAATGCCAACAAACAGCCTGAGAATCAGTCCCTTTAGACTAGAAACAAAATAAAGCAGCAAACCCACTCCCTTCTTTATGCTGTTGAGAAAATCAAGGCATAGAAGCTTCTGTATTCTCATAGCTTCTTCACAATAGACCAGTTAAAGAGCAAAGCATTTCTACTTTGTCATTTTTCTGTAGCATCTGGCTGTGCAGTTCAATAAACTGAAATTGAAAGTGGCTGCACTTTAATGAACATACTTTATTTGATATTAAGTGAATTTGATCAGTAAAATTGAACTTACTGCACTTCTGGTGGGATACAGATCCAATGGTCAGGCAGAGAAATGAATTAACCAGCAGCCCCTTTTCTCTCTTAAAGCCAATTATTTTCTCACTGGGCAAATAGAAAAGTGAAATATATTTGGCTTGAGCTGAATGTTCTGATATTGAAACTGTGTCCTATACTTTGAGATTAAGAACCCTGTAAATATACAGAAATTAAGGCAGTGACAAGGAAAAAGCTAAAAGACAATAGAATGTCCAAAATCCAATATTAGACTTCTCAAAAAACATTGTAGGCAAAGTATCAAAAATTTCGCTTATGACTTATTCCTTTTTTATATATACATAGAAAGGAGTACTTGAAAATAGTTTTCTTAGCAATTAAACCCAAGTGTTATATGTTTTCTATCTGTCAATATAATTTCAGATTACTAAATACAAAAAAACCTTCAAATTCCAAAGGTTATATCTTTACTCTTTTATTTTTACATGCTTTCATGCCATACAAATTCAGATTTTTTATAGACTTTTAGAAATATTAAATATGTGGGTACTACCATGATGGAGAGGAAAAAGTCAGTTATATTTTCTATAACACTTCCAGGACAGTTCAGAAAAGCGGTATAACAGGAGAGTTCCTTTATGAAGCCAAGTTTCCTGTGTTTGAGGTTCCTAGAAGCTGGCCTTCAGAGAGCAATTAGAGCAGGCAGTATTAAATCCCTGTCTCATTTTGACTAAGACAAACAGAAACTTCCAGAATACTGTAACCTAACACTCTCCTTAAACTCCTCATAATCTGGTATACAAGGATCCAGCTGGGCCCAACATCCAGAAAACATGTAACTTCAAGGAGCTGGTATATGACATAGTGAAGGTGCCTAGCTGGGCTCACCATGCAGACTCCCTGTATACATACCCAGTAGCCACTGAACGCCACCATGGCAAGTGTGACAGTGCCAGCAGTGACTGTACCATGTGAGTCTGGGGCTCAGCTACCTCTCCTTCAGTGAAATGAAAGAATGAAGAGCAGCAGACATTTCGGGCTGCCTACCCTTGTCCTGAAGGACCAAGGTGTCCAAGAAGTCTGTCTGTGTAGAATATGCCCAGGCTGCAAACCACTGTGGGCCAGGGGATCATCAGAGCCCACTGATCACTGCTCTCCTGGCAGAGGGGGAGCTCCAGGAACTGAGAGTGCTTGGGCCTGGAGCTTGTCACTCGAATTCCTAGGTCTGGGCTCTTTCAGTTTTGCTCAACTTGAATTTAGGGGCTGAAAGTTGTTTCCCACTTTTAACAGACTTAGAGTTCCTCTAGAGCAATGACATGATTTTACAGATGAGAAAATCCAGACTTAAGAGGGAGAGGTTTCAAGGTGTTTGGGTAGAACTAAACGGAGCAAACTCTCCTGTTGGACATGCAGCCTGCAAGAGGAGGGTTACAATGCTTTAGCGCCATACAGCAGGTACCTGGCTCTATGTCTAACTGGTTAGGACACCTAAAGCACGAGCTCCAGAAGCAAAACTAAGCAAGTGAGACTACTTCAAACTAAAAAGCACAACAAAAGAAATGATCAACAGAATGAAGAGGCAGCCTATGGAATGGGAGGAAATATTTGCAAACCACTCTCCTGGAATATCTCCCACTATGCCATGAAAACACTTCGCCAACCAAACTAGCTCATCTGATAAGGAGTTAAAATCCAAAATACATAAGGGACTCATATAGCTCAACAGCAAAAAATAATCTGATTAAATAATGGGCAAAGGACCTAAATAGAGATACAAAAAAGATCTCTGCACCCCCATGTTTGTAACAGCATTATTTATAATAGCCAAGACATGGAGACAACCTAAGTGTCCATCAATGGATGAATGGATAAAGAAATTGTAACATATATACATACAAAGCAATATTATTTAGCCATAAAAGAGAAGGAAATCCTACCATTTATGACAACATGGATAGACCTTGATGGTATTATGCTAAGTGAAATAAGTCAGACAGAGAAAAACAAGTACTGTGTAATCTCACTTATATGTGGAATCTAAAAAAATGAACTCACAGGAACAGACTGGTGGTTGCAGGGGCCGGGCAGGAGAGCTAGTGGGTATTGAAAATACATGAAGGTGGTCAAAGGGCACAAACTTCCAGGTAGAAGATGAATACGTTCTGGGGCTATAATGTACAGAATAGTGACTACAGTTAATTCTCACCACAAAAAATAAATAAACAAAAAGGTAACTGTGATGTAGTGGATATGTTGACTAAACTTATCATGGTAACTGTTTCATAATATATACATATATCCAATCAGCATATTTTATGCCTTAAACTTAAACAGTTTTGTATGTCAATTACATCTTATTAAAGTTGGGGAAAAAATTAAAATGAAATCTCTAGAGAATAAAAACAGATTATTCTTTCCATTTGATTTTTTTTAACTAATTTGAAATTCTCAAACTGAGTACATATTAAATCAGTGGGCCTCTTGTAATTATAATCATCTGTCCTGTTCTTGAAGAACAGATGTGATTATATTTTTAGACTGCAAAGATGTAAGGACAAAAATGAAAGTTTAACAGAATCCTGGAGTGGAGAGAGGAATGAAGGCTGCCTCATTCCATGCTGCCAGTTCCTGGATGTTAACACTGAGACCTGAAGTCATGTAAGCTGTAGTAGGATATGAATTAGAACTTTGTACTCCTTATTTTTAGTCTCTCTTTGGACTACCTCCCACTATGCCATGAAAACACTTTGCCAACCAAACTAGCTTATTCAAATATGGCTTCTGTAAAGTGCAGACTATAACATACACCTATATTCTCTACAATGTTTATATGCAGAACTAGACTGCAGCTCTGGTGATGAAATAAGAGGAAGTTAGTGACTCTGGTTACAGGGATTCTGTCTGCCTCACTCACTTCTGGGTAAATCCTTGGATCTTTGTAGGTAACATTAATGGTCTAAATGTACTCATTCAAGCTGAAATGAAAATCTCTTTCTTTGTAAATTCCACCCAGTTTTGACTTCTAGAGCCATCCAAAATAAGATCAATCTCTTTTCTGCCTGAACACCATTCAAATAGAATAGCTATGTCTTTCATTCCAGCTTGCAGATTAGCAGTTTAGTCAACTGTTCTTTAAATAATGCAATGTCCAGACAGGCTCTTCCACAGTCTGATTAATATTCTTTTCTGTGTTAAAACTGTGGAGTTACAAAGGGCAGAATGGACCCAGACTGAAGACTTTAAATAGGTGCAGACAACGAATTCAAATGGAAAGTCTTCGAAACAACAAATGTGACTATGACCTGAGGCCCTGGACCAGTGCCCGACACATATTAAACTTTAATGAGTGTATTTAAATTCCTGATCAGACCACTGTCCAACTGCTCTCATAGCACTATTGACCTTTGTATTAAGCCTGTGGTCTCAAATACCACTCCTCAAGTGAACTTCAATTTTTACTTAGTGAGGTTTGATTTACTTGGTGAGATCTTTTGCTTAGTGAAGTATGAAACCACTAGGGCAAAGTCTTTTGCCCATTTCAAAGACAAGCATTCTTTTTTGTACTGTTAATACCTACCAATGGAATACAGTCAGCCTGTTGAGTTTGGATTTTGTATCATGTATTCCATCTATTTCTTTTCACATAGAAAAACAGGAAAAAATATTCATGGGAAGAACTTAAATGGAGGAGTTGCAAGATCTAGAATCCACAGAAATACCAACATACCACAGGCTGCCCAAAGAAGTGGCCAAGGATGCTGGTCTGAGAAAACCTGAGTTGCTATCAGGTAACACAATACATGACTGAGAGCAGAGATGTGAGTCCCATCTCCAGTCGGCTCCTTTCTGTGTGTTGTTGGTTAAACTACGTAACCTCTCTGAGCTTGTGTCTTCATTTTCAAAATAGGGATGATATGATAATTAAGTCACAGTAAGAGCTAACACTTACATGGCAGCTACTATGAGCCAGACACTATTTATTTATTAACCCATTTAATCCTCATATACCCCTTTGGAGTGGGTGCTTGTCTTGCCAATGGGTTTCAGCCTCCAGCAAGTTCGCTATGGATTCAGTGTGACCAAAGAAACTGACAGTAAAACGTTCTTTTGGGTGGAAGGGTTTATTACCTGGCTTGTTCTCCTGGCGGTAGGTCGAGCACTGGCATCTCTGCCTCCACCCAGAGCACTGGGCCGAGCTCTCTATATAGCGCAATAATAGCTTATTGCCTAAAGGTGTGGAAGTGGTAGCCTAGCAACAGGCCAGTTACATCATCAGGTGGTTTAAGTTCAGTGAGGATCCTGGCCATAGGAACCCCAACTTCCCCACACTCCACCCCTCCAGGATTCTCGCCTTACAATCCACACACTTTCAATCTTCCACAATGGTCCCTGTGTGAGAAAGCTGGAGCACTGTAACCAGATTCCACAACAGCAACAGAGGATAACTACAGCTTAGAGATAATAAAAATTAAGATACAGCAAGATTTTGATACAGGTAACAAAAATTATAATAATCCTCAAGCTAGCGGAGGTTCCTAACAACAAAAATTATAATAATCCTCAAACCAGAGGAAGTTCCCAATCCACAAAGACTTTAGGGGTGATAAAACACATGTTTTAATGCCACCAACCTAGGCAAATCTTGCCCATCACGTAGGATGCATGCAAGAGAGTGGTCCTGTGATAGGACTGTAGCAGGAAGGGGGACCCTTCCAGGTCTTGTATACCATACTTTTACTCCTTTCCCCGTGGGGGGTTATTGAAGGGTCTATATAGTGCTATTGGAGGTGCATTTTGTAATCGCTGCCTCAAGGCTGGCTGCACTGTCAGGGAAGCCAGCTTTCCCATCTCTGATCCCGACAGAACAATTCCATCCACCCCTAAGTCCCACAGATGCAGGAGCCAAGCTGATATTGACTCTGAGGGCTTCTGCCTAAACTGGGAGCCCAAGTCCACCAGCTCAGCCTGAGTATAGGGGTGGACGATAGAGTGCCCCATGACCTGGGGAGGGGCTACTCCTCTCCTTGGGGAACTTTCAGCTGCTGGGTCTTTATTTTCTTTACAATCACTGGGCATGCTTTCAATACAGGAGGCGCCAGGGCCTCCGGCACCACCCCTTCATCCTTCTCCAGCTCCTCCATTTCTGGGGCGGATGGCACCTTTCTCTCCCCTCCCTCGAGTGCCTCCTCTGCTACAACCTTTACCTTTTCTACAGTGCCTCACAGCAATGCTAGCTCAGTCTTCAGAAGGTCTCTTACCTTCACCTCAATGCTTCGCCGCTGACGTTCTCATGCCACCTCCGCCTGTGATTCCCTCAGGAATCAACCAATGGCACCTTGCTGCCAGTGCTCTCAAGCTGTCTCCTCTCACATCAAGGCCATCTCTTTCTTCAGGGAATCCACATAAGTTTGAAGCTCACGTTCTCATGCCGCCATTTCTTGGGTCTCCTCTGTAGACCTTTTTAAGACTGTGAGAAGCAGCCAACCCACAGTCCCCGCTGCCTCACGGGCACTCTGCTTCTCAAACGATCTGCTTACTATACCAAGGGCCACCCCTACTGCCTCGGGTGTCACCTCCACTTGCCTCCAGTCCTGGGGTGGGGCCCAGCCCTCTAGGAGGCAAGTCACCTCAGACCACATACCCATTGGGGGACGATCCACTGTTTCCCCAGTCACAGGGCAGCCCACTGAAGCACCCCTCCCATAAGGGCAGCCTGTCTTTTTCCTTGGTTAACAATGAACCCTGCCAACTTTCGCCAATTGTCTGGCCAATGGGTTTCAGCCATGGCCAAGTTCACTATGGATTCAGTGTGACCAAAGAAATTAACAGCAAAACATTCCTTGGGGTGAAAGGGTTTATTACCTGGCTTGTTCTCTTGGCGGTAGGTCGAGCACTAACACCTCTGCCTCCTCCCAGAGCACTGGGCCGAGCTCTCTATATAGCACAATAATAGCTTATTACCTAAAGGTGTGGAA